AACATACCGCTGTTTTTATCTATGTGTGTTGATTTGCTCTGAAATAAGATAAGATATCTTTTTAGGCAAATTAAAATTTGGCTTATAGAATTTGTAAATTTGACTCTTCGTGACCACTATTGTATAAAACATAGCTGTTCGCATCTACTTTTAAATTTTTTTTTTTTGTTTTTAAAGTGCTCTCATCAACATAGATGTCCAAATCTAGAAAATTTATATTGCATTTACTAAACTGGCTGCTGAACTCTAGACCCCATTCATTATGATTAATACGTTCTAAAAAAATTCTAAATCTGTTTGGGAGCCTTTCCATATATTAAAAAAAATAAATAAATAAATATTGATATCAATATATCTATGGTAGGTGACCAGGTTCGACCCCCATTCCCGGCTGTTGTAGGTAACCTCAGTCTCCCAACCTGACATAAATTGGCATAACTGGGGGCGAACCTGGTCCCCATAGCAGTGCCTTGTAATTGCAAATAAAATGTAGAATTAAAAACAAAATAATTGTCCTCTAAAATCCATCTAATACGATCTATTAAAAAAAGCACTAAAAATACCAGATTTTTCTGAAATATCCTGAATTGTATTGCAGCCCTTCTCATGGGTGATAGAAGTATAGAGTGCCGCTATGTCTGAAGTAACTAGGAAATACCCTTCTTCCCACTTAATACTCTTTATAATTTTTATTACATCTGTGGTGTCCTTAATATAGGATGGCATTCCTTTAACTAAATTCTGTAACTAGACATCCACATATTTGGACAAGTTAGAGATAGATCCGATGCCGGACACAATTGGCCTACCGGGAGGATTTGCCAAATGTTTATGTACCTTTGGCAGGGTATAAAAGACCGGCACTCTCGGAAACTCTACCTGTAAAAACTTATATTCATTTTCATTTAAAATGTCTTCATCTCTACCTCTTTTTAAAAGAATTTCTAAGGAAGATTTCATATCTATAATAGGATCTTTATCTAAAACCTTATATATCCTTTCATCTTCTAGTTGTTGGTAGCACTCTTTTAGATAGATAGTGGTATTCTGAATCACAATACTACTCCCCACCCCCTTGTCGGCTGGCTTATCTCTATATTATTTCTTAAACTCTGTAAGGCTTTCTGTTCATTAAAAAATTATTAAAATTACGTTTCTGATTAGAGTTCCCTCATTTGTCAAAATCCTCAATCACAGATTTCTCAAAAATCTCTTTGGCACTCGTTCTATAATTTCTCGGATAAAAATTAGATTTGTTTTTTAAAGCAGTTTGGTTATCACTTTTTCTTGTATCAGTGTACTTATTAATTTCAAAAAACCTTTTTAGAGTAAGTGTTTGATTATTTAAGTATGTCTATGTACGCAGAAAAGAAGTTAAAATTCTTACTGGGGGCAAATTTAAGACCTTTGTTTAAAATTCTAATTTCATCATTATTTGACACAAAATTAGATAAATTGATTACTCCCTCCAATTGATCATTCTTCATTTTTTCCCGTTGTTGTGACCTAATTCCTCCTCTACATCCTCTCTGTCCCTCCTCCTTTTTAGGGGTGAGAAAGAAACCTTTCCCCTTGTTTTCCCTATAACATTTAAAAAAAAAAATAATATCATTGCTTTGTCTAGGGTCTGATTGATCTTGTGATAAAACATCAGACCTATTTGATAGTACCAGATCCCTATTTCTATACTGGGGACTTCTATCCCTTTGTTGAGGGCTTCTGTTACTCTCTGGTCTGTTATATGTCGTATTACAAGGTTCAACGCTGTTCCATTCATTAGTCTTTCTGTCCTCTGGAGTTCTCATTTAGGAGTATCCTATTTAGGAGTGTCAGAGCGGT